CACACCATAGCTGTCCCTTTAAATCATTACCACCCCTGACGGTGTGGACAAACCCAGGGCCCTGCCCCCCAAGCAGGCGGCTTGCCACTTCCCCACCCCACCCACCCCCACCCCCCCAGGCCCCAGAAATGTAAGGGCCATTTAAAGGGACATCAGAAAGGCAGCCTGGTCGCTAACAACCCCACCCCCTCCACACACACAGACACACACACACACACACACACACTCACACACTCACAGCCCGTCTCCAGCAGCACACAGAGACCCCCTGCCTTTCCATAGGGGACCCCAAATTCCGGTTTTCTCTCTCCCTAGAGACTACTACGAGGAGAATGAGGCAAGGGAGGCTGGGGGAGCCATTAAAGGGTAAGGACTCCCTCCTCCCTCAGGGCCCCAGGAGACAGGTTGGAAGAAGCCAGCCTGAGAAACAGTGAGACAGAACCCCAAAAGGTGCCTCGGGCAGAACAGGGGAACACACTGTCGGGTGGGGGGAAGGGAGCTGCACGAGACGGAGGGTGGCGGAGCCAGCAGGCGACAAGCCCAACTCGGGGAAATGGAACAAGGAGGGCTAGGGGGAAAGGCAAGGCCAGGGTAATCGGGGAGACAGAAAGGGGTTGCCGGAGAGGGTGTGGAAGGAAAGAAGACAGGGGGAGGGAGAGCCAGGCCAGGGTTACCTGCTGGGTGTCTGTCCCCCGGCGGTGCCCCCAGAGTCCGGGTAGGGAGGGGGGAAGCAGCAGGGGGGGGAGCGGGGGCTGGGGGGGCGGGGGAGACGGTCCCTCCTCTGCCTCCTGGGCCTGCCCCGGCGCTTGCAGCCTCTGCCTCCCTCCCTCCTCCTCCCCGTCCCTGAGTCCCGGAGTCAAACAAAGAACTGTAGCAGGCTCTCCCCAACCCCCTCCCTCCCTCCTCCTCCTCCTCCTCCTCGTCGTCCTCCTCCTCCTCCTCCACCTCCTCCCCTCCCTCCCCACCAGCAGGCTCCCTCCTCCTCCCTTCCGGTCTCTTCCTTTAACTACCCGCTCCCCCAGCCTCCCCCCACTAGTCTCTCTCCACCCATCCACCCCAACCTTTTACACACCCCTTTAGCCCAGCCATGTCCCCGCTAGGGAAACTGTGGAGTCCCTTTGCAAAATGAAAGGCACCGGAGAGCAACGTGGGGTGGGAACCAGAGCATCGCTTAAAAATCGCAAGCCACAACATAATTATTTTAGCAGCCAAAGGAGGGGGAAAAATAAACCCAAAGAAAGCAATACAAATCAGACGAAAGCCCACATCAAATAAGGTACGCAAAGTAGTCCCTGACAGCCCTACACAACACCCCCCCACACACACACCAGTTAGGAAAACTCTCCACTCTACCCAGCCCTAGCGATGGCTACTTTAGAACAGGTCCACCCACTATAATAACTAACACCGTTTAATAATATGTGTTTCTTGACACTCATTCAGTATTAATTTTACGCCAACCACTGGGCTAAGTGCTTCGCCTAAATTATCTCAGTAGCCCCTTCCCTCAGCGGGAAGGTAGGTATTGATATTTACATGGCCCAGATACGGACGGAGGCTCTGAGAGGTTGTGACCTTTCCGGGTCCCACTTAGCAGCAGGTTTGAGCAGTCCAGGTTCTAAGCCATAAGAAAGGAGACGTTCTAATACCTTCGCCAACTCCAATACTTAGCAGAGAAGGGCAGCCATAGCTATCTGGAATTCCTCTCTCAGAAGCGGGGAATGCCAGACGCTCATCCACCTACCCTCACAGGTAGGACACCCCGACTTTCCAGCATAACACCGTTCCCCCAGTTCGGGGAGAGGAGGTGCAGGGGGCTGCGGGAAAGAACTGGTGCGTATGCCCACGCACAGCTCTCGGGCAGCTGTCTGGCACCTACACCCGTTTCAACTCAAGATGGGAAAGGGCGACGCGACACTGGGCCATGCAGCAGGTGGGAAAGTAAAGACTCGAGGAGACTCTTCCAAGGGCGCGCGTGGGGGTTCGGGGAGCGCAGGAGACTGGAGAGGGAGTTTGTCTATGGCAAGCTAGGAAAAGAAAAAAAAAAAAAAATGACCCAGAATCCTCTCAACCCAGCAAAGGGGCAAAGTCTTTCAGGCCACACCACACCCGCGCCCCTCCCCCTCACTAAACTCCAGGCCAGGGTTTCCCACCTGCAGGATGCTAAAGCCAAGGGAAAGGAAAGGGGAAAGAGACGGCACGGGAGTGGAGCGGAACTCCGGGCAGAGGTGGGAGGGAATGGAAAGGGGGAGGAGATCGCATTGCCTGGCAACCGTCCCGGGGCACGTGCACTGGTGACATCATCCCAGGCCACCTCTAACACAGACCTTTGACTCCTACCACTGCGAAGAAGGCCCTGGCTGGCCGAGTTTCCAGAGGGTTACTCCACGAACTCTGGGAACCCAAGAAGGAGACGAAAAGGAAACCCAGGTGTCCTGCCTTTATCTCTAGTAGCCCCAACAGGACTTAATCCTAGGGAATCGGGTCATTCGCCAGCCTCCTCCCCTCAGCCTCCAGCCTTGACCTCCCAACCCACATTTCTGACTGTCCCGACACGCCCCTCGGAGATACTGCGCCTTCTTTCTTCTGGGCTTGCTCTCTGGTTGGGGGCGGGAGACTAGGTCGGGGCACCGAGTCCCGCGGGACTCAGCCTGCTATCTGCGGGATCCCCTGTGCCCCAGCTGGCCGCCAGTCGGAATCTGTCTGGGTCCCCCACTCTCCCGCCCCTCCCGCGCTGTTCCAGGGCGGAGTCTGTGGAGTTGAAATCAGGACACGCCGAGAGGAAGAGTTATATAACCCTCTGGAGAAGCAGAGGACGAGTGGAGCCGGGGACAGCCAGCACGAGAGGAGCCAGGGGAGGTGCAAAGAAGGCCGGAGCGAGCTAGGAGGAAATGTCAGGGAAAGGACGGGAGAGCGTTGGTTTGCATACCAGAAACCAGGAATTTACAAGAAAAAAAAAAAAATTGGTTCTGACGATCCTCTGGCCAAGAAAGTCACCTGGGCCACCAGGCGCTTCTCACGGGGTCCTGCCGGGGCCACTGGCCGCAGCCGGGCCTGGGCGGGTGAAGCCCGGGAAGGGGCGCTGCTACCCGCTCCCCAGTCGAGAGCTCGGGAAAGCCGCGGCCGAGCCTGGGGCGCCGGAAGCCACAGCTCCGCCCAGCCCACCTGGGAGCTTGGGGCGCCAGCGAGGGGCGGCGGCGGGGGGCCCGGGCCGGCCTCCCCGAGCAAGGCCCACGTCCACGCCCGGCTCGAGAGCGCACACCCACCCGGACGCCCGGGCCCTCGGGGCTCGAGAAAGGCGACGCTGGACCAGTTTGCAAACACAGACTTAAACCCGAGGCGAGGTGGCGGGGGAGGAAAGGGAGGGGAAGACGCGCGCGCGCGCGCACACACACACACACACACACACACACGCACGCAGTCTCGCCGCGCAGGCGCAAGGGACAGTCTGGGCGCGTGCGGTGGAAGGGGGAGCCGCGGGAGCGCTGCGTGTGGGAGTGCACGTGCAGATCCCGGGGAGCCGCCGCCTCCCCCCCCCCCTCCCCCGGCAGGCTCTCCGGGAGGACGGTCCGCCATTGGCCACCAGGGCCCCGACGTAGCCACGTCCGCCGCCGCGGATTGGGCGGCAGAGGGGAGTTTGGGAAGCCGGCGGCGGCCCGTTACTCTGGCAACCGAGCAAACAAGCCCGGCAAGCCGCGGAGATCAGCTCGAGTCCCGCCTCGCTCGCGACCACCACTGAGGCCCTTTCTGCCGCACCCCAGCTCTCGGGGTTCTCGTCTCCGGCCCTCTCAGCCCCCCAGTTTCCCACCGCAGGCCGGCACGCCCCTTCACCACCCCATTCCAGGCCGGAAAAGCATCGGCTGAGCCTGCAGCCCTGTCCCCAGCTCCCGCCCGTCGCCCTTACGCTTACGACTTCCTGGGGCGCGAGCCGGGGTGGGTGCGGGACAGATGGCAGGGAGTCCGGGCAGAGCCTCGGCGCACCTCTCCTGCAGGCGCGCGCCCCTCAGCCATCTCGTGGAGACCTGGGCCCGAGCCCTTCCAGGGCTAGGGAGCCGCAGCCGGAAGCGCGGGAACGGCCCGGGGGCGGGGGCGAACGCGGCCGGCGGGACGGTGGCGGCTGCAGGCAGGCACGTGTCCCCGGCGGTGGGCACTGACGGGGCCCTCGAATGGCCCCAGGGCTGGGGGCTGCTGCGCCCGGCCGCGCCTCCGCGCCGGCCCCTCCGCGACCTGTCTCGGCCGCGTTCCGCAGGACCGGCCGGCCCCGCCCCGGCGAAGGCCCCATCCCAGCGGGGACCGGGAGTTTTTCAGGGCCTCTCGACCTCTGGAGCCAGGACCGCAGTTTCCCCGCTCCCTTTGCCCTGCTCCTTTCTGGGGGGCCTGCACGTCCTGCGCCCCCACTTTGCCATTGCTTTCCCCAAGACTCAAATGCCCACCCCTGGCCCGACCCCTCCAGAGATCCTGACGTCCCGCACCCCCTTCCACGGAGATGGTTTCCCTTCTACCAGAACCCCCTGGGGCTCCCCGTTACCTGGTTCTGGGGATCCCAGAGGTTCAGGATGCGCAAGCCCTCTCGGGGGTCGAGCGGCCCCCCCACACCGTCTCCCAGACAGGGGTTGGGGGGGCCGCTCCACCCCGTGGCGCAGTTTGATTTTTTCCAACACAAACACCCGCTCCCGCCCCCGGGGCCCCGCCCCTCCGGGCCCCGCCCCCGGGCCGTGGCCCCGCCCCTCTCCGGCCCCGCCCTGCCCTCGCTCCGGCTCGCCGCAGCGCGCGCGCCAGGTCGGAATTCCGAGGGAGGCCTGCGGGGCTTAGGCCGCGGCGTGCAGCGCCCACCCCGGACCCTCACCTGACAGGTCTCTGCTGCGTTTGGATCCCGCGCCCTTCCGAAGCAAGCCCCGCCCCGCCCGTCCCGGGAGGCCTGGCCACGCCTCCCCCCTCCCCGCTGCCGGTGCCTCCGCCGCCCCAACACGCACTGAAACACCACCATTCCACCGAGAGGCTTGGGTTTGCACGTGTTTTACTGCGCTGAGCTCCACACAAGTCTTCCACCCTGACGGCTGGCGCCACGGGGTACCTTCAGGCGCCATTATAGGCTGGATTCTTCCGAGAGCCAAGCCTGAGCTCCAGCTGTCAGTTCAAGGGCCTCCGAGCCCCTCAAGCGGGAGGGAGGGGTGTGGGTGGGGGCCTCATCAGCTGTCCAGGCTCATCAGCAGCGCGGTGCCTCTCTTTATCCAGTGATCGGGCGTCATGGCTCCCGAGCGGAGATCGATGCCTATGACGAAGGAGGCTCGGTCCGTGCTGCCTGCCCGGTTGGGGTAGTAATAGCAGGGGCAGGAGTACATGCCTAGGGGCGAGGAAAGGAAGTCAGACTCGGAAGATCAGGACCGCTGGGTCCGAGGGCTGGAGCGGGGGCGGGGGGAGGAGCCAGATCCCACCCTTGGCGCTTTTCTTGCGGCTCTCCGTTGGACGGAAGTGAATGGTGGGCATCAGGCACACCAGCTGCATGGGCTCTGCCTCCACCAAAGACGAGTTCTTCCGGTCCCAGCCAGCACCCTCCAGGTACAGGCCCCGAACCCAGACCCCGTCCTGGAGAGAGACACATTCGGGGTGAAGCTCAGACCCTAAGCTGACACTGCTTTTGACCTGACTCCTCTGCCCACCCGGTCCATTTGTCTTCTCGCTCTTTGGCCCGGGGTCCTCCCCCACCCTTTGCTTAGCGGCCCACCTGCTCTGCCTCTCACCTTGGGGGGGTACACGAGGTTGCTGTCGTCGACGGTGGAGACTATGAACTCCCAAGAGAGGCTGTCCACTGAGATCTGCGGGTGGAAGCGATGGCGGGAGAGGCCTCCAGGGAGGAGGACAAACACACCTTCCCACCCTGCCCGGCTGGGCCATCCTGGGTGCTCACGTTGTTCTGGCGCGCCGAGGCCTGCAGCACGGCGGTGAGGAAGCCCGTGGGGAAAGTGAAGCCAGACAGCCAGAAGATCACAGGAGGGTGGGCTCGGCTGGCCCACAGCTCAAACTGTTCCACGCGCACAGCCAGGTCCCGCGTCCAGGACGCCAGAGGCTTTTGTGAGGGATATGCCTGCAAAGGAGGTGGGGTTGGCGTGCTCCATGGCTTTCACACCCTGGGCAGCACCGGCTCCTGCTCTGCAACTCCAGGTGGTCCGAGCTCTCCAAGACTAACGGGGGGGGGGGGGGGGGCACATGAGATCACTACAAGAGTGCCTCTAGCCAAAGTGCACGGGGCCACAAGAGTTTCAGATTCCTCAGGGGGTTTTTGTGGTGTGTGCAGAATGTTTGCATAGACTATTAGTTGAGGGTCCCGAACTCAAAAGGACCATGTATAGTGCTTGGGGGAGGGAGGTCTTTGAAATATCCTTACAGACGTTAAATGAATACGCCTGTGAGTTAAATTCTGCAGTCCCCAGATGGCAGAGCCAGATTTCAACACCTTGAACCTGTCTGGAGCTTGGAACCCCACACTCTCTGAAGTCTGCCCTTTGCCCCCTGAGAATGAAGTGAGGGGGGTTCAGGGTTAGAGCAGGCAGTGATGGGATCTTGCCTTTCCCCAGAGCGGAGGCACATGAGCGTCAAAGATGCAATTGAAGATCTCCTCCAGGCTTGTTGACATGACAATGAGGCCCTGGATGCCCTTCTCCAGGTCTGTCAGGGAGAACCTGGGCAGAAAGAGCACTAAAGGAGGTGCGGGCCTACGAGAGCCACCCCAGGCGTGAGCTGGGGCCATTCTCCCCCCCATGACCTGCATGTCCCTTCCGCCTTACAGGATGGTCTTCATCAGCTTGTTGTATCTCTGGATCTCCTGCAGGAGGACCACATTGAGCGGGGACGGGTCGAGAGCCAGCAGCTTCCGGGTGCCCTCGTAATCAATCATCTCAGGGATCTTCTGCTTCACATCAGCAGCCAGCTCGAGGACCTAGGAAGGCAGAGGCTGGGGCTGGCCTGCCCTTCAGCCTTCCCTCGCCCCGGGACACCCTCTGTCCCTACCTTCTCTTCTCGGCTCTGGCCCCCAATCCTGGTGGGTGTGATTTGGGGTTGCAGGGAAAGCAGAGTCTCAAAGAGGGTCCGGGCCTCAGTGATCTGCGAGGCCACATCGGCATTGGGGTGTTGGCCAAAGGCCTCAGGGGGGTCCATGCTGGGCAGCATGCTGATGTATTCTTTGTAAGAGGCCAAGGCCCCGTCCTTCGGGATGAAGTAAGTCTCCAGTACAGACAACCTGGGCAGCCACGGTGGAGAATCACCACGTGGCAGGACCTGAGCTTCCACGCCAAACCAAGACCTCAGGCTCCGCGCGTTCCCACTTGTGTGACTGGCAGCGCCAGCTCGTGCTGCACCTCCCAACTCCACAAACTCTGTCTCCTCCCAACCTCCCGGTCTCCACACACCCACACACAACTCAACCCTGGCTCCAGGTCTGTGCATCTCCTTTCAGCCCTCACCGGTAGTTGGGGGTTGAGAGACTCAGGTCACAGAAGTAATCGTTGATGTAGGTGGTGAGCAGGCGCCGGTCCCAGTCATCTGTGACGTGTCCGCCGTAGTTGACGCCGGCAATGAGGTATTTGAGGGCGTCCCAGGGTGTCTCCTCATACTCGTCCAGGTAGAGGCTCAGCAGGTTCTCAGACACCTGTGTGTGACCCAGGGTGATGGCGAGGCCTCTCCCCGCGTCCTGGCATCCAGTACCCCACAAAGGAGCCTCGGGGCAAGAAGGACGAGGAGAGAGGGCTGACGAGGGAAACCCCCGGCCAGCGCGAACCTCAAAGTCGGAGTCGTTGAAGCCGTAGACAATATTCCAGCCGAGCTGCAGGAACTTCTTGCGCTCCAGCAATATGGAGTGGAAGAAGCAGAGCGCGAACAGCAGCTTCTTGTACTTGGCGGGCTTGGAGCAGTGAGTGAACTGGGCCTCCGTCACCAGCTGGTACAGGCGAGTCATGTTGGCCTTTAGACCCTGAGGGCGGGGAAGCACAGGGTCTCTTGTGGCGGTGGGCGACGTGGAGGACGCTCACACGAGGGGCGGGGCTGCCCCACTGTGCACCCTGCTGGGAGCCCTCCCTCCCCCACCTGTTACTAATGGGCCAGTGCTGGACACTGAGGCACAGTCACTCCGCCCCTGCAGCTCTGGCTGGCCTGGGATGGCCAGGTGGAGCAGGTGGGCCTGGAGCTCGGATATCTCCCTGCCTTCCTGATAGTGCTAGGGCTACAGGTGTGTGCCACAGCAGCCGGCCCTGCCTCTGCGCTTGATTCTCTCAGTCATGATGCCCCGGATGAAGGAACCAGTTCAGTTTGCAAGTGCCAGAGCATGTGGATAAAGACAGAAGTTTACACCTGCAATTAGCTTTTCACTGGTACTTGTTGTGTTTTATTTCAATGCTGGGGGTTGAGGCTCAAAGCCTTGTTCATTCCAGGAAAATATTCTACTGCTGAGCTATACTGCCAGTCCACTGCAACTGAGATTTCTTTTTTTTAAATATATGGAATTGCAAGTATGGGCATACACTTGGAAGACCAAAGCAGGAGGATCACAAGATCAAAGCCAGACTGGGCTACATAGCAAAAGGAGAAAAGAAGAAAAGGACAAAGGACAAACAAAAAGGAGGAGGAAGAGAAAAGCTGAGACGTGGTGGCATACTCCTTTAATTCTACAATCCGAGGCCTGGGGAGGCAGACAGATCTCAGGGAGTTCAAAGCCAACCTTGTCTACAGAGGTGGTTCCAGGACAGCCAGGGCTACCCTGTCTCCAAAAAAAAAAAAAAGATGGAAAGATTATGATCTGTATGAATGTATGAAGTATGGAATGACTGTCAAGTACACGCATTAAGTAGGAAAATAAATCATGATATGGTTGTACTTGTGACACAGAATTTTGTGTTAAAATTATAAGAAAATTACAAACTATTCAAATAATGGCTTCTGGGCCTGGAGAGAGGGTCGCAAGCCTGAGAAAAGGCACTTAAAAAAATGCTTATTCTGCCCTCCATTTTTTTCAAAGCAAGTCATTTTGAAAGATCTGATCATTTTATTCTACACGTGAGTGTTTGGCCTGCGTGTAAACTGTGCATGTTTGGTGCCTGTGGGAGTCAGAAGCCAGACGCTTTGGCTCTCCTGGGGCTGGACTTAGGGTGCCTGTGAGCCGCCATCTAGGCTAGCCTCACTCTCAAGGATCCGACTGCCTCGGCCTCCAGGACGTGCCCCCGCCTCCCAGATTTTACAGGGTCAGTATTGTTGTATTTGACATCATTGTTTTCAGCAGTGAACTTGTGAAATCAGAGATAAAGCTCTCGAGAGCGAAGGAAGGAGAGAAAGTCTGGGCGTCCAGACTTGAACTTGAAAAGGGAAAGCAACAGGAGGGCGCAGGCAGCAGTGCCCTGGTGAAAAGGGCACACCCCCAGAGTGGCTGCTCGCGGCCTGCTGTGCTGCTGAGTGTGAAACAGCCAAGGAGTGTAAAGGCGGTACAGAGTGGAGCTTGGCTCGGAGCAACCACTCAGGAAAGGCTGCCGTTGCTAAGTGCCAGGAGCTGGGCTCGCAAAAGAAAGGAGGGGGAGTTTAGAAAACAACAGAGTCAAAGAAAGCTGTGCGGTCTTTAAGGCGGGAACCCCTCTCCGGTGCCACTGAGCAGAAAGGCGGCGGGCAGCGAGGCGATGCTGGCTCTGTGGCCACTCTACCTTCGGTGGCTCTGTGGTCATCTTGATGCTGGCCTGCAGGATGGAGATGGGGAAGTCGGGGTGAGGACTGGAGCTGAGCCAGAGGCGGAAGGAAGGGTGAGGGTCCTCCACCTGCAGCTGTTCTACCAGCTTGTCCAGATGGGGCATCCAAGACAGCGACAGGTGGCAGTTGGCCAGGAACACCCAGTGGCCTGCAAGGAGGCGCCAGGTCAGCAGGAGTCGGTCCGCAAGCTCCCTGACCCACACGCTTTGCACGGGGGGGGGGGGGGGGGGGGTGAAGGGCTGGTGTCACATGCCCAGTATTACTTCTTCGGCTTATGGAAAAGCGGGAGCTGCAATCATGGCAGGTGGGCTGAGGATGGGGGTTTCTTGGGAGGCGGACTGGGGCTGAGCAGTGGACAGGAAAGATGGCGCTGGTGCCAGAGTCAGAGAGGAGGAGCCTCAGTTCAGAGAAGTCCTCACAAGATCAGGCCAGAGGCAAGCCTTGGGGCATTTTCTTAACTAGTGATGGGTGGGAGAGGGCCCAGCCCATGGTGGGTGGGGCCACCCGGCAGGTGGTCCTTGGTGCTGGGCAGTGAGCAGCCCCCTCCATGGCCTCTGCATCAGCTCCTGCCTCCAGGTTCCTGCCCGGCCTGAGTTCCCGCCCTCACTGCTTTGGACGGTGGTGACCGGTTCTAAGGAAGTGTGAGGGCAATAACCCCTTTTCTCCCGGAGCGGCTTCTGGCCGTGGTGTCTAAAGGACGGTAATTAGCAGTAGCAGCCCCGGCTGAGACGGACACTGACCCTGTAGCACACCCTCTCGGAGGAGCCGGGCAGCAATGGGGGCCTGGCCCTGGCCCAGGGACAGGGCGTGGAAGCGGTGGGCCATGCCTGTGTGCTCCGCCAGCTGGAGCAGAGCGCTGGTGGGGTCCACGCCGGGGGACAGGATGAACACTAGTGGGGATCGGGGGGTAGAGTCCTCCATCACCTGGAAGAACCGGGAGGAGGACGTGAGGAAGCCGTGGCGGGGCGCCGGCAGGGGCTGTGGGCTGTGGGGGCGAGCAGGGCAGGGCTGACCAGTTTCATGTTTAGCACGGGTGGCTCGATGAAGCGGGAGCCGAGGTTGGAGATGATGAAGGAGGTGACGCAGAAGGCCACGCGGTCCTGGCGCAGGGAGCGGACGATGAGCATCCTCTGCATCTCGTTGCACGCGTTTTCCCACTCTCCTGGAGGGGGGAGGGAAGCTCAACAGGGGCTCTTCAGGGGCTGCAGTTGTCAGGGGGTGCAGGGGGGGGGGGCAGAGGCTGGAGGCCAGGCACCTGGCAGCATGGCCTTCTCCGGTGAAGAGTTGGTATACCACAGGTGCCAGTCCCGAGGGTACTGCTCAAAGGAGTTCATGAGGCCGTGGAAGTTGGTCAGTTTGTCCAGCTCCGTGATGTTGTCCCAGTAGGCGTCTGCCAGCCAGCTGGTGCATGGGTTGTCCATTTGGCCCTCCCGGTCCAGAACCTGGGGGAGACAGAGGGGAGAAGGGTGCCTGGAGCCCTCGAAAGAAGAGTGACTAAGTCTAAACGCTCCAACACAAAGGGGAAATGTCTGCTGTAAGGGGTACGCCGCCTACCCAGATCTGCTCGTTGCACATATGCACAGGTATGCATGCGTGTACTGACATGCCTCACAGCAAGCCAGACATCGGGTCACACCTGTCACCACGGCACCCAGGCTAGGCAAGAAAACTCCCAGCAATTCCAGGCCTGCCTGGCCTATATAGTGAGTCTCAGGCTAGCCTGAGCTATAAAAAGAGTCTTTTCTTACACGTGGTGCTCAACATGGTTGCTAGGGAAATCCAACATGATTGACGAGAAGAGAGCAGAGGACTGAAATTCACAGAGGAGAAATGCGTCTGGGACCACCTCAGAGGAAGATTCAGTCCTTCAGGTTCAGCTGGACGCTCACAGAGACTCGGGAGGCTTCACAGCAGCGAGAGCTCGAGCCCAGAGCAAGGAGTGATGCAGGGCCTCTGAGACCATTAATCACAGTAGGTCACGTGTCCCCCAAAAACAATTTTAGTTATAAGGACAGACTTTTTTTTTTCTTTCTTTTTCTCTTTTTCTTCTTCTTCTTCTTCTTCTTTTTTTTTTTTTTTTTTTTTTTTTTTTTTTTTTTTTTTTTTTTTTTTGACACAGTGTTTCTCTGTATAACCTTGGCAGTCCTGGACTACCTTTGTAGACCAGGCTGGTTTAGAACTCACAGAAATCTGCCTGCCTCTGAGTGCTGGGATTATAGGTGTGTGCCACTGCCTTTAATCCCAGCACTCAGGGTCGCAGAGGCAGGTGAGTTGCAGTAAGACAGGACAGCCAAGGCTATAACCCAAAACACTGGATTATAGAAAAAAAGAAAAACAAACAAACAAACAAACAAACTACTGAATTAGATCAACCTGTATGCTTTCAGCATCAGAATTGATCCCAATTAGAGAAGCTTCCAAATGAAGGTCACAAGTCAAGGAAGAGACAAAGACAGCAGATCCCCCTGCACAGAGACAGCTTAACAAAGCAGGTGAAGAGGGACAGAGTTCATCGGACGGGCCGACTGAAATCCTGATGCTGAAATGGACGGTTGCTGAAGGACAGATGACCAGGACTGCAGTTACGGAGGCCCATGGAATCAGTAGCTGAGTGGAACTCCACAAGGACATTCAGACTGTTGAGTTTGTAGGATTGATAATTGTTTCTATTGAAAACGTTAAATTGCATACAACTTTTAGCTTAAATAGAAAGGGGGAAGTTGTAGAGGAATTTTAATTTAGAACATGGCTGTTCTGGCAAGCGATCACATCCAAAGACCTATGTCTGTGTGATCTGGCTGAAATATAGACATGCCTTTAATCCAGGAGACAGAGGCCACCAGATCCCAGTTCAAGGCCAGCTGGTATAGAGCAAGTTTCAGGATAAAAACAAAACAAAACAAAACAAAACAAACAAAAAAAGCTTAGGTCCAGACGTGGTGGTGTATGCCTTTAACCCCAAACAAGGCTGGTAAAGTTTGTTTGTAAAAGGAAGCACCTATAATTGAAAGTGATGCCTAACTGAGTGGCAGAAAAATAATGAATTAGGAATCAGAGAAAGATTGGACTGAATAGGATACGGCCTGATCTCTCAGGAGAACAGATAGGAAAGGGAAGTTATTTAAGGGAGCTACACAGAGAATGCGGGGGGGGGGGGGGGGGAAGGAAGCAGATTTAGCGCCAGTAGAATTTTACAGAGAGAGGTTGAGGAGAGAACAAATTAGACACAGGTGAAGACTGAATGAGCCAGAGTTTGAGAAGGAGCCAGGAGATCAGACCAGATTGCTAGGGTTAGTTTGAGACCAAGCAGAGCAACTCGGAGGCCGAGAGAAGAGCCAGATTGAGTAAGTCAGCTGGGAGAGGAGTTTGAACGAGAACAGCTGAGTTGAAGCAGCCAGCCCAGAGCTCAGAAAGAACAAGAACGGGTGAGCTTATTCAGCAGTGAGTCTCAGGGGCTGAAAATGTTCTAAGCCTGGGTTAGATTGTTCGGAGGCTAGTTCTCGGGACTAGGCCTAGGTCAGCAGATGAGGCAGGAAGCCGCCAAGACCACAACTGCTACAGGAGAATAAAAGTTCCTTTCCTCCCACTGCACGTGTGCTTGTGTCTCCAGTGTTGGTTTTCTAAGAAACAAAGTGAACGATGAACGCAGAGACGCTACAGGAATCCAAGATGGATTCGGTGCCACTTTTAGAGTCACAGGTGGGGTGGGGTGCCGTCACTGAGACCCCGAACAGCTCACGTTCAGGAAGCTGGTGCCCTCTGGTGGTCTAGTGGCAGAAACAGCTCCACCCCCACTGTTGGCAGACTTCCCACGGGAGAATCCCACACTGCTCCATTCGCACACACTCATTCTTTAAAACTGGAAATCTGGAGCTTTTCCCCCGGGGTGGGTGTAGTGTGTGGGGGGGATTATGAGTGTGCGGTGCCTGCCTATGACTGTGTAAGCCTGCGGAGGACAGCGAATGTTGCTGCGTGGCGTCCTCTATGGCTCTCTGCTTGTCCCCCTGAGGTAGGATTGCTCACGGAACTAGAAACTATGAGGCTAAGACAGCTGGACGCTCCAGGGATCCCGGACATCTGTCTCCACCTTTCACCCCCATGCTGGGCTTGTAGGTAGGTGTAACCTCGCCTCACTTTTTTACTTACTACAATTTTAAAGTTTTTTAAGGGCGAGAGCCAGGTACAGGTGGGTCTCAGATGAGAGGCGAGTACGAGGAAGCGCGTGTCGGCCTGCCCATGCCGCGCGTGTGCCTGTCTGGGCTGCACTTTCTCCTTAGGTCATTCCGGAAGCACTGCTGTGGAGCCCCAGCCTTGACTCCAACTCCCTCGTCACGCCCCCTCGCAGACTCACTCACCACGCCCCCACGCAGGAAGAAGTTGTACTCGTCCATGTTGAGTTTCCCAGAAGTCTCCAGGATTTTGGCACACATGTGAAAACTGAAGAGCAGCTTGTGGCGTTCAAAAAGGGTTCGGCAGGTGTACCTGGGGGAAAGGGACAGGAAAGGTGGAGGTGAGGGGACACGGAGAGAGTGGCTGACAGAAACGCTCAGTGCCACACACAGAAGGACAGTAGCAGGAGCCTGGCACAAGCCTCCTGGGAACAACCAAGGACTCCGGGCCTTGAGAGATGGACATAGTTTTCCCAGAGGTCAGCCTTAACCAGGCATCAGTTCCGTTTAGAAACAAAACAAAACAAAGCAGCAATTATTCCCTCACTATCTTGCTGTCCTTGAGGGACAGCCATGTGCTCTGACAGCAGGGGCGTAGAGGTGATCACAAGCCACGAGGAGGCCCACTCATGGGAGGGAGTGTTGTCAAGGGGACGTAAGACCTGGTGGCTGGCTGTGTCTGCTGTACTTAGAAAGCCCCTGGGAGCAGTGTCTTGAGGGGTCCAGGGACTACCCGGTGACCTGGGAGGGGGAGGACCAAGCGTTCCAGGAAGAACTCAGCATAAGGAGAGCCCAGGGGTACAGGGCAAGGGGTGAAGGTCAGCAGTGCTGCCCAGGCAGCTGGGGTGTGGCTGGGGGAGGTGGAGGCCTGGTCCCAGAGGCTTTGGGGATGCTCAGGATACGCCAACCACTGAAGAGTTCAAGCCCTGAGCCAGAGTGGAGTGTGACAGCCGGAGGACGGCCCACGAGGGACACACAGACAGGGTGGGGATGCTGTGCAGGGCGGGAATGCACACCGAGGCCCGGTCCTGGTGGTCAAGGGAGAGCCGGGAGGGAGACGTGGCCGGGAACGTGCATAAGCAGCACCTAGCAGCCGATTGGAGCCGGGAGAATAGAGTAACTCCATGTTACCTATGTGTGTGCCTGTGTAAGAGGTGCGGGGTTGGGGGGCTGGGGGGTGCCATCCAGGATTGAGGACCCTGGTAGAAGAAAGGAGCACAAGTTGGTCTGAACAGGCTGGCTGTGCGGGGTCTGGAGGTGAGTCCAGGGGAGAAGTTACGGACTCCGCCGTTCAGAATGTGATCCACAGGCTGGCATGATGGCTTGGGGGGGGGGGGGTAAGGGAGCTAGCCGCCAAGCCTGGGGGCCTGAGTTTGGTCCGCAGAGCCCACAAGCTGGGAAGAGAGGGTGGCCCACCGTAATCCGTCCTCTCATCTTCACAAGATGGCCCTGAGCGGCGCGTGCGTGCGTGCGTGCTGCCCGCCACAAAGGCTTCATAAGCGAGTGCAAGTTTAAAAAATAAAGAGTTAGACAGACCAGGGTCAGCAGCTCCCGGAGGCTTATTAGCGATGTAGAATGGAGGACCCTTCCGCAGAGCTGACTCCCAGCCTGGACGGCACCTGTCCACCTGTCTTTCCGTGTGTCCATGTGCGGAGTGGGCGGGTGCAAATGTATGCGCAGAACATGGAGGAAAAGGGTGAAGGGCCTTCCTTGGCTGCTCTCCACTTCGTTCTCTGAGACGGGATCTCCCACGGAACCCGGAGCCCGTCAGTTCAGCCAGACCGGCTGCCCACAAGGTTTCAGGGAATCTTCTACCTCCCCGGGGCTGGGATGCCGGGCACACTCCACGGTGCCCGGCTTTTCATTTGTTTTCTGATGGTTTGTTTGTTTGTTTTCTAGGGATTTGGGGGATAGGTTTTGAGACAGGGTTTCTCTGTGTAGCCCTGACTATTCTGGAATTTGCTCTGCAGACCAGGCTGGCCTTGAGCTTGTAGAAAAGCCCCTGCCCCTGTCCCCCAGTTCCTGGCCACGCTGGGTGGCTCCGCCCCTGCCTGCGCGCGCAGACCTGTAGACGGCATAGGTGTGGTAGTCGTTCAGGTACTCGATTCGGTCATCCAGCTTGTTGCTGCGGTGGCTCTTGTCGATGCTGAGGATGAAGAGGCTGATGTAGGCGTCCAGCGAGAACTGGTACATGGGGTCGATGCGGCCCATGTCGTTGAGCACGAAGAACAGCACGGAGGCCCGCTGGGCACACGGGCGGTAGGCCTGCGGGTGTGGGCGCCAGGTGTGAAGGCCTGCAGACAGCTAAGTGCCAGCCCGGCGTGGGTCTGTCAGCTCTTTGGCATTTGTAAACATTCATGCTTCCTCCCCCGGGTGGGAGTGGAGGGGGGACCTTCAGGGAGGTGTGTGTTGGGGGGTGCTCTGGGAGAAGAAAGCAAAGGCGGCAAGATTTGCCTCAGGACATGGAAATGAACAGGGCAGAGCGGCAGGGCTGGAGCGGGCAGGGCCAGCACAGGTTACACTGGGAATCCGCCCAGCTAAGAGGCCTGGGCGTTAAGTAGTAAAAGCCGCTGCTGGGTCTGAAAGGCCCCTGTATGCGGGCTCAGTTAGTGTCAGGGCCACAGGAAGGCAGGAGCCGCTGGGGAGGGCTCCAGCCCTCCAGGCTGAGCTGAGCTCACCTCGCGGGCCAGGTCAATGTTGATCTCCGTGGTCTCGCTGGTCTCCAGCTGCTCCGTCACCTCCGAGGCCGTGACCTTGGACGTCTGCAGCGTGTTCACCAGCTGCACGTCATCCAGCAGGGAGCCGGTGGCCTCGTTCAGCAGGCTGGGGGAGGCCAAGGGCGGGGTCAGGGCCGGGGGCACTCGGCAGGGGGCCCCAGGGTGCCGGCTGTGTCTGTGGGCACACTGTCAGCCCTCCCCGCCCCCGCAGGGTCTGGCCCCCACTCTGCAGGCCCAGTGGGTGGGCCCGGCGTCCTCACCGCAGAATCTCATCCTCCAGCTCTTTGAGCTTTCTCTTGCCCGCAGCAATGTTGATGACCAGCGAGTCCTTCTGCTCCTCTAGCTCCGGCCGCTCCTTCCGGACCACAATGCCCAGCAGCTGGGCTTCCAGACCCTGCGAAGGCCGAGACCCGGGTGAGGGTCCCACGACCGAGGCTTTCAGACCTCCCGAGACCTCGTCCTCCATCGCCTCGCCCAAGCTTGGCCTTTCCCTCGTGCTCCCTGCAGACGCCCCACCCTTCCTGCCCCCAGCGCCTTGCCGACCTGTTCCTTGACAGCGAAGTTGACGATGGTGGTCTTGGCGGAGGTCTCCGGGCTGTAGTGGGGGTTGGAGAGCTTGGTGGTGAGGTAGAAGCGGAAGCTGGGGTTGTACTCCACCTCCTTGTCCCCGATGCGCATCAGCATCCGGCCGCCTGCGGCCACGGCAGGGTCACCCGCGGGAGCCTTACACCTTACCGCCCCGCGCCCCCGGCACCCAGGCCGGTGACTCCACCTGCCCTAAGGGCTCCACCCAGCGCCCCCACTTTGCACCCCGGACTCCTGCTCGAGGACCAGCCCCCGCTAAGCCTAGGCTCTGACCGATCCGAGCCACAGATTTGTTGAGCACTGGGTTGAGTGTGGGGTCCAGGTACTCCTGCACGTTCTGGAGCAGCACCGGAAACCCGAACTGGATGGCCTTTTCCAGGACTCGGAGGTAGTTGTGCATCTGCAGGTCGATGATCTGCAGGCCCTGGAGAGCGAGGGGTGGACAGAAGCCGCGTGGAGGGGCACCGCAGCCAAGAGGGGGCCTTGAGAGAAGGCGCCGTCCTCGGGGCAACCTGACCCCCTCCGGCCCCCCAACCCCCCCCCCGAGATACCTGGTTCCCTTCCATGTTCTTAATCCACTTGAGGGCTTGGGCCTGAGGGTCGATCATGAGGGCCCACCTGTCAGAGGAGGCCCGGTCAGAGGCAGGCTCTGCCCTCCCCTGTCCCCCAGTCCTCGGGAGACTCACCTGTTGCCCCTGGTGACAATGATGCCGTTCTCAGTGGAGAAGGAGTCTGAGGGCAGGCCCTGGATGTTCCAGTCCCGGACTTTGGTAGGATTAGACAGGAAGCTGTCGATGGCAAAGCGAGGCGAGCAGGGGACCTGGAGCTCCCGGATCTGCGCAGAGAGGAACCCGGCACCCAGCCGTAGCCCGACAGCCTCTCGCTTGCACCTCCTCCGCAGCACAGCCCAAGTGCCCTACCATCCCAGGTCCCTCACCTTCCTGATCCAGATCTCGTTGATGATCTCGTCCCGGTAGTTGGTGAGGAAGGGCCCCATGTAGGACAGGAAGGCAGCAGCCAGCAGGCAGTCACCCACCAGGTAACCCAGGTCCTCCTCCAGGCCCTGGGGCACACAGGACGGCGTAAGAGCCCGGGGCCCCTGACCTCTGCAGATAGTGGCGATGCTTCGGAAGATACGCTGCTCAATTCTGGTCCAGATCAAAGCTGGCTTCCCTTCCCGAACCCCTGCGCTCTGACCTCTGAGATAAGCCTGACCTCTGACGGGGCCTGCCTGCTAATCATCCGCTGACAAGATCTAACCCCTCAGGGACTGAGAGACGTGGAGATAGAGGGCCCCTGTCTGCTCTCTCTCCGGGAGATAGGCGGCTCCCCGGTGGACCCTCCCCTCACCTGCACGGTCTCCTCCCACCGGGCCTTCTCGCCGGCCAGCCCTGACACCAGCATCCCGGCCCGCTCCAGCTTCAGCTCCATCTCCTCGGACTTCTTGCGCAGCTCCTCCTTCTGCGCCAGCTTCTCGTCGTACTGCTTCTTCAGCATCTCCAGCTTCTCCGCCACCTGCGAGGGACCGCACGCGTGGGCGCTGGAGCTCACGCGGCTCCAGGGCACGTGCCGCGTCCCATCCTGACTTTGCCCTTGGGTCAATTAATCTCTCTGAGGGTGCTAAATGGAGTTAATCCTCTGCACTGTAGTGCGCGCGCACACACACACACACATACACACTCACACGGGGGCGGGGGGGTGTTCATCCGGAACCCCAGCGATCTACTGGAAAGACGGGAGGCAGAAACAGAATCACCGGAAGCCCAAAGGCCAGCGTCAGTGCGGAAGAGGAGGCCTGAGCTCTAGAAGCCTCTCTCCTGGCCTCCGATAAGAGCTGCTGGCTCGCTCACACGGCTCGCACTCGCGTCACAGTCATGCTCTCAAGGCTCTGCTTCCCTCCTGTATGAAGAGAATCGTCGCAGAGGCGGAGGGGAGCAGAGGGCCCGGGGGTGCGCCTCACGTCAGGTGAGCTTTGTCTCGCCCCCTCCTCTTAGAACCGGGCCCACGCAGCCGGCGGAGAGCCTGGCAGCACGAGAAGCCACTCGAGAGGCGGGGGCTGCACCCCTCCGGCCACTCACAATAGTCTGTGAGCCGAGCTGCGGCCATCTGACGCCATCGTCCGGCCTCGGTGGGCACCACACCCGCTGGGGCGTGCGCACGGTGCGGCCAGAGCACCTTTACACAACACTGTGGAAGACGCATGGGCACAGCGTGTGGGGGCACCGGTACACGCCAGCTGCTTTTCCTCTTTCCTTGAGGAGGAGGTTGTAAGGGATGAGATGAGTAAGACCAGAGGGCAGGACGTGAAATTCACAAACAATAAAAAGTTAAATAAAAAGAGCAAACAAAACATTTGGCTCTTAAATTTCACAACCTTCATCAGCAACAAGGAAAAAAAAACGTTTCTCGCAGCTGTCGTCCGCTTCTGTCCTGAGACAGGGCTCAGCACGTCGCTCTGGTGTGGCGGGGACCAAAGGGCCCCTTCTCTCAGCTGCCGCTGCCCAGGGCCCTGCCCGCTTCCTCTTGCCAAGCTGTGTTCTCTGAGCACACGCGGCTCACCCACTGAGTCCTAACGTTGTGAGCTCCGTGTTTGTCCGAGGGATGAATCCCTGGCAGCGAACTCCGAGGTTCCATTGTTTAAACATAAAGGGGCGACTTACATGCTCGGCCCAGGGCGGGACTCACGGTGGGAAACCTTCCCAGGTGGGTTCCTCACCCGGGGCTCGGACCTCCCAGAAGACAGCCGGTGAGGGGGAGGTTTGGAGAGGTCCGGACAGGAGAGGAGTAGAGGATGACCTGTGTGCTCAGACGGAGGCCTCCGATGGGCTACGGGTAGGTCACTATGGAGTCACAAACACGGTCCCTCGCCTCGCTGTTGGTCACTAACCGCAGGTGAATGAAGACGGCAGCAAACAGCACGTAGCTGCACATAAAAGCTGAGAGCACTTCTGTGTTGTCTCAGGCTCTGCTCCTCTACGGCGAGGAGACATGGCCAAGGCCACTCAGAGAAGGAAGCATTCGACGGGGCTGGCCCACAGCTTCAGAGGCGAGTCCACAGCATCACGGCGGGAGGCGGGCGGGCGTGGCACTGGGGCAGTGGCCGCCCTTCACACCCTCGTCCACAGGCGGAGAGGGAGAGCAGCCTGGCACTGGCTTTGTTTGCTCTGATTTCAAGACAGGGTTTCTCTGTGTAGTCCTGACTGTCCTGGACTCACTCTGTAGACCTTGAACTCGGAGATCCTCCTGAGTGCTGGGATCAAAGGCGTGCGCCACCACTGTCCTGCTCTGGCATGGGCTTTTGAAACCTCAAAGGCCGCCCCCAGCGACACACCTCCTCCAGCAAGGCCGCACCTCCTAATCCTTCTAATCCTTTAAAGAGGTCCACTCCCTGGTGACTAAACCGTTCTCATTCACACCACCACAAGTATGTATGTATGTGTGTGTGTGTATGTATGTGTGTATGTGTGTATATGTGTGTTTGTGTATGTGTATGTATGTCTGTGTATGTATGCGTGTATGTGTGTGTATGTGTGTTTGTGTATGTGTATGTATGTCTGTGTATGTATGCGTGTATGTGTGTGT